AGAGAAATTGAACTCAGGTGCGATAAACCAGTGTTTTGACAGGGGGGCAAACACTTGTTCACACAGGGCTCTATAGTTTTGGATTTTGTTTTCCCTTAATAATAAAAACCTTCATTTAAAAACTGCATGATGTGTTTACTTGTGTTATCTTTGACTAATATATAAATTTGTTTGACGATCTGAAACATTACAGTGTGACAAACATGCAAAAAGATAAGAAATCAGTAAGGGGGCAAACACTTTTTCACACCACTGTAATTGCTTGCCCCATGTGAAATCTGGTATTCAGACAGTTGCAGGATGAGCAGATGATGAAATGGTTACAGTCAGGTGACAGCTAAATGATTCAGAAGTCATACTGGTACTTCATTAACCAAGCTATTAAAATAAATTTGAGGTATTCCACTTGGAACAGGTCAGACACAATACATCCAGGTGGACTGCATGTTTGTTCCGATGAACAGAAGCTCCTGCCACCTGCAGCACCCGGCTGAACAGTAGCAAAATAGTGAAAATTGTGAGAAACCGCAACTGACTCACTGTGTTGATATAGAAGAATCACAGCCGAAAATACGGCTTTAATTCAGTCTAATGCTAATGAAAGCGGAGAGTTACACTTTTTGAGAGAATTTTTCATTTCTGTCACTGCTAGTAGAGTGAGATAGAGGAAAAACAATAGCAACACAACTGAAGCAGTAATAATAGAATAGGTAATCACAACTTAGAGCCATGTGTTACCAGAACAGGCTCAGAGAATAACAAACTTGTTAACAACCTGTTGTTCTTCTCTTTCTCTGTTAAAAGAAATGGCTTTACTGGAAGAGGGATTATGATGTCCAAAAGAATTAAACAGTCCTGAATTTATGGGCCCATCAAAGAACAGAAAGAGTGGGGTGAGAGAGAGAGAGAGAGTGTGTGTGTGTCCAAGTAGGGGGACATGCAGCAGGCTCAACCACAGCTTTCTGGTGACTGATGCAGGTCCAGGAGGTGAGTCATTAGGGGTGAGTTAAGTTCCCCTGGCGGGGGGGGGTCACACACACACTGTTCAAGAAAGCGAGTGTCTGAAAACACACCACAGCACACTCTTGTTCTTTACTCTGTTACACACACACACACACACACTTCTCACTGCCTTCCTTTCCTTTTTCCTCTTTCACAATATCTGATGTTTCATTTCTAACTGTGTTTGTAATTGCTACACTTCTGTTTTTACTATACTGCACGATGATCATCTTTTGGAAATTATTGCACAATAAAAGTTCCCTAGGGGGACTATTGAGTAAAAGAACCCATTACACCAACAGTTACAAAGCTTTAATCAAATCTGGTAAAAACAAATAGGTGATTAACACCTCTGTGTGATGACGTATTTGGTCGGTAGAATACAGGCCCCACAAGACTCTTTGAAGCAGGAAACACAAATGTCTACCGGAGGCCGCTGTGACAAAAACAAGCCACAGAAGCTGGTGTGAAATGACTCAAGCAAGGCTGGCTTCTTTCAAAGATTAGAATCAGGGAGAGGAACAGTTGGTGGTCACCACATCCCCAGTGATCTTAAACAGTTCCACTTGAGCAAAAGACAGATCTGTACCTCCACTAGACCTCAGAGTACGAGGAGTTCACTCGCCTGTGTTGGATGAATGATATGCGTGACAGTGCCTTGTAATGGAACAGTGTGGATCATGTAAAAATGAGGTTCTTTCCTGTGTTGTTGCTGTAAATATTTTTAAAGAAATTCTTTCCAGTGTCTGTCTTACATGGAGGAGTGGGCTAGAGTACATACATTTCCATTTAAAACACATTTCCTTTTTGGTAATATCATGAGTGTCGTCATCCTTTTCACCACATCCCACTGCTAAAAACTGACTGTTGCAAGAAACAGTGGTACTTGCAGAAATATAGTCCTACAGCAGGGACTGAAAGAAAGCTTGAGCCCTGTGCATCTCCCACAGGTGCCAGAGGTACGACACAAAAAGTATTTTTTAGCCTAGGATAGGAACAGGTTGGACATCTAAACATGCTAAACATTCTCTGGTTCAAGCTTCTGAAATATGTTGATTTGCTGATGGTTTATATTACTACAAATTTAAATCTTTGGCTTTGGGATGTTGGTAGGACCAAATCAGCAAAGTACAAAAACATCACCTAGTGTTTTAGGAGACAGTGATGGGCTTTTCCCATCATTTCATAAACTAAAATTATTACCAGATTATATAAACACATATACAGTTTATGTGTCATGCTTACTGTAGTGTCCACTGCCGTGACCGCATTAGTTGGAACATGTTTTGGGGTAGACCCCTGTTCCTTGAGCACCACACAGCCTTGGGATCCCAGAGTGATGATGACTGTTGTACAGCCTCGCTTCAGCAGCTCCTGACAAGCCCAATGTGCTTCCTCAATGTTAGCTACTGACGAACCAGTCAGCAGCTCAGCCTGTATGGACAGACAGCCCAAAGGAAGCAAAGCTGAGACACATATACACACTCTTCCTTGAAACAACCATATCATCTGATGTAAGACATTATTTCTGTGACATTTTCTTATAAACCAGTTTTTTTTCTTTTCTGGGTCAGGGAGCCAATTTAATCAGAGGTTTGGAATTAAAATGAAAGATAGCGCAAAACCAGCAATGGTCTGGGACACTGGGAGGATAAACAAGGAACTGGAATTTTACCACAGCAAAACTCCAGTACCACGCAATCAAAACAACGAGTTTTTGCCTTTAGCAAAATCAAATCAAAAAGATTGTTTTTCCCCTTTAACACACAGTTTAGCAACCCACAGCCATTTATTGTCATAGGATGCTTAATTAGAAGTCAATTACCAGTCTATTGCTCACTTAATAGTAAGCTGTTTGTGTTATCAGTTTGCATACGAGTCAGCAATTCATTATACACAGACTCATAAAAAACATTTCATCTGATGCACCGGATCCATCAGTTGTCTGCAGGTCAAACATTTTCAAAGATTAGATCCTCTGACTACGCTGCTTCATCTGGCTGGCTGCACACTGACTAAGCAGTGACAGAGCAAGACTCTCCAGCGGATGTTTGAAAAACTCAGAACCACTACAGTTGCCTCCACAGGACATGGCGCCCTCCATAAGTAGGCTATTATAATATTCTCTTAAAGACAATTCAATGGGGAGTTCATTGTAAGCATGACTGACGATGTGGAGAATACTTTTGGACAAATAACCATTTCCGTATTTTGATGCAGAATTTATGTACAGGGACATTTATGTGAGAACAATTTCTGTAAGATTAAATATCACACAGTTTCAGTAAATAGGTTTAAATATTTTTACTATTCATGCCCATGTTTACTAAGTGACTGACATTATTTGCTGTTAATTGTTAGTGATTTATTAGTTGTTAGACTTGATTTCTACACTTGATTCAGATTTGGTCAAAGTTTCAATGTTCTAAACTGCCAATCCGCTGACCTAAGCCTGTGTGCTCATCCTAAAATCCTGTCTGTATATACAAAGAGCAAAATACATGCCAAGCCTTAAGAACACAGAAAGCTATTAGCACTATTACAATGTCTATTACTACAGACCAGTGAATTAACTTAACACCAGATTAATGCAATTAGTGTTAGCAAGTATTGCTCCTTATTTTAGCATTTCCCTGGTGAGCAGCATTACAACATCATTTCTAAATACTTCACCACTGTACTGTGTATTTTTTAATAGTGTAAAGGGAAAGAAAAGGAAATACAATATCTCTGCTTCCAATTCTGATCAAAATGTTGCAATGTATTCAGACAATAGTGTAAATTGCCATTCACTGTTATATGCTTTTTTGCATTACTATATCAGTCCAGTTGTTCTATTTTAGATCAGTCAACTTACAAGTGATGTAAATATTTTAAGGGCTGGTGTCTTGAATAGAAGCAAACTTTGAGGCACATACAGAACATAAAAGGTAAACCGATAAAGTGCACTGACCATCACCATTTTGTCTTTTATGAATATAGGATTTACTGTAATGTAAAGTCAGGCTCTATGTTTTCACTGTTTGTGCTCTGTGAGATGTTGGAGGTCAATCTGAGGAGCAAAGCAGAATTCTGCAAACTGACGCATCTGAAAAATGACCTAATGCAACTACAAAATACTGTGCTGTATTATACTTACTATCTGACCACGGTCTCCCTCTCTGACCTACTTGCGTCAACTTTTATGCACCTCCACATACAGAATACTAAACACAGCTCTATACACAGTGTTGGTATGTGGCAGAACATCTGCTTTTGCTTCAGGTAATGTATTACTTTTTGCTTCATCTTCCATGTCTAACTGTGAACTGACATGGCCACTGAATTTACATTCGTGTTTTCTTGTTGCTCACGTCTCAGTTTTACATAATTATTTTTATTCCTGTATTGCACCAAAACATGCATATATTTATTACTTATGTTGTACATGTTATGGTTTAGTCCCCCTCACCAGGAGGGTGAGGGAGAACTGAGACAGGACTCAAGATTGCTGACCCAGGTGCTAGTAAAACAGGTGGTTTTAATGGTGGGAAACACAAAAAAAGGAACAGAGTCGAGGAACACATACAACCGGGGCTGAGCAAATACGGCTAGGGAGAACAGGATGACCAGGGGAGTGAACAGGCTAACGGAAAAAAACAGGAGACTGAGGATGAGGACGGACAGGTGAAAAAAAAACTACCCAGGAGGATTAGCTACCGAAAAAGGAAATCCACAGCACAGGAACTGTCAGCGTGGATACCAAAAAGAACGTCTAGCTAACCTAATGGGAAAAACATAAAGAGATCCACAGCACAGGAAATGTCAGCGTGGACGTCTTAAGATGTATAACACAAAACATATAACCAACGTACAAAATGTGATCCACAGCACAGGGACTGTCAGCGTGGAAAACAAAATGACGTATAAATACATACCACGACTAAAAGGCTGTTACAGGGTATGCACGTTACAGTAGTTAATGCTCCGGCGATGGCGGAGCGTCCGCCAGAGGTATAAATAAGGTAGGAGGGTGATTACAGTGATGCGCCCCAGCTGTGCGCGGCAACCCACAAGTCACTGATTACAACATGTGACATAGCTGAGGCGCTGATCCCGCAAAAAGAGCGAGCAGGAGAGAGAAAGGCAGAAGAGAGGCAGGTCGCACTGAGTGGACCTGACAGTACATTTTATACATCTTAGTTCAATCAAAAGAATTTTTAAAATACCTTTCAAAGGACTTCATTTTGTTCACAACACAATGTGTTTGAAAACCTTAAGTGTTAAAAAATCCTAATAGTGCCTAATAGAAATTAAAGGGATTTTAAGTGTATTCCTAATGAAGTGAAAGACATGAAGCATATGGAAAATTCTATCTCAGGGTGGACTTCCCCCTTTTAATTTTCCGCTGCAATTACAGGTCTAAAATTACCCTGCTCTAAAGATGTAAACATAAAAAAAAACAAAACCAAAACCAAACGCAAGCACAAAAAAATGACAACACATTTCTTGTTTCTTTATGCCTCTATCATGCTCCTCTGAAAGTGTGTTTGAGTTGCCTCTTAGATCTGTGTATGAGAAATGTGGATCCATTTTAGCATGTGAGGTCCTCAGGTGGACATGAAAGTTAATGCCCCTCAGTATAAAGCACTTTAGCGCAGCATGTGGGCTGCGGATCAAAGAGTGCGTGCACTTTGTCATCTTTAAGCTCCCCTATCATCCTCCCTTACCCCTCAGCCTCAACACAGTGCAGTGAGACCACACACAAACGCCTGTACAGAATGTATACCCATGACAGTATAACACCAAATGGGAGGATCAAGGCATGGCTGACGCTACTGTTGAATAGGGGTCTCAGGATCTCATCCCTGCCCCCAATCCCTGCTATTGTAATCTGTCAGGGTGAACAATGACCTTGGACAGTTCAAAAATAAACCACCCAGTGTATCAGTGCTTTTAGAGTCCGCAGCCACCCTGGTGCTGTTGGATGCCAAAACAGAAAAAGAGCTGTTTTGTTAGTCATCAGCTTCACAACAGGGTAAGGAATCAACCTACTTCCCCCTGTATTCAACATGAGAATTTTGTCTCTCTCACTGTCTGTGGATGTGTGTGCTTATCACACACACAAGTGGGCACCTCTTTTTTAAAGCATATGTAGCATAATGTTGTTGACATGGTAGGTGTAGTTGCAAGAATGTAAATGTACTGTATTTATATAGCGCATTTTCCCACAGTGTGTTGCACTGGCCAAAGTGCTTTACAGGAGATGATACACCATTCACCCATTCACACACAACATTCACACACCGATGACAACAGGCTGCCACACAACGGCGCTAGTCAAGCCGCAGGGAGCAATTCGGGGTTCAGTGTCTTGCTCAGGGACACTTAGGCATGCGGGGAGACCAGGAGTCAAACCACCAACTTGCTGGTCAGGAGATGACTGCCCTACCTCGTGAGCCACAGCCACCCCTAAGGCATGTCTAAGGCATACAGCTAAAAGGTGGAAATAATGTGCTGCTGTTACAGCAACGTGTATGATTATGTTTTGTTGACAGGGTGTTTGTAACTTTAGCTTTACACAGTGTTTACATTTGAAAAAAAAAGCAGTATGTAGATTTTGTACCTGAAATGAGTAACTTTGTTTTACATGAGTATTTTTACTAATTTTTTCTCATTTGTTTTCTGTGTCTTGATCACAAGGTTTTACATTGCCATACAGTCCTGGCATACATTCACGAATTATGCATTTTGCCAGGTCTTTATTAGCAATAAATCATACAATGAGCAGGAAGGTGGGCAGGGGAATAATGTTTCTCATGTGACATGAATGGTAGTTAAAACATTTCTAATTTGACACTGGCTGAATCACCAGTACAAACAATGTGAATTTCCATTACAATATTATTAGATTTAAAAGATCTCCAGGTCTTAACGTACACAGCTATGAACATTAAGAGCTTTAGAGAGAAATTAAACTCATTTTAGAGTTCAAGAGAGCACTGTAACAAGAAAACATCCAGTCATACAGTACAAAGTCATATTTAAAATATAATGTTTACAGCAATTTATAAACAAATGTACCCATAAAAAACATTTTTATCATTTTACAGGAACAACATTTAGACTGTGAGCTGTAAGATTTGATTCTTATAGGCTCTAGTTACTTTATAACCTTTAGTTACTTTTCAGTTCTTCATTGTCTTTTACTTTTCATACCTTTACTTTCCTTGCTTATACATGTTAAAACTGTATTGATGATTGTCCAGAACTACTGAGCTTTGGTTACTTTAATACATTTATTTTCCTTGCATATATATCTTCCAATTGTATTGATGAGAGTCAAGTGATGCTGAAGTAGAAATTGACTACTTTAACTTCTGTGTAGACATAGTGTTTGTATTCATGAGGTCCTGCTTTGTCCTGTAATAGGATTACACAGATATGGATTCTAC